TTTTTTTTTTTTTTTTTTTTTTTTTTTTTTTTTTTTTTTTTTTTTTTTTTTGTCTCTTACACCAGCCCAACTTCTAGAACACGTCAAGATATTATGCAGGTTCTTTCCTTCCATAGTGTTCGGTAGTGTGAGCGTGCGCTAGCCCAATAAGTCACGCTACTCCTCGCTTCTTAAGATTGGAAACTATCTCCATAGACCAACACGAGTCCTTCTAGCATGTTTTGTCTTCACTCACATGCATCCTATGAAAATTTATAGGAGTGCCTAGGAGGTCACCCAACATAGAGTATGAAGTTCTTATGATTGAGTCATCGAAAAGAAAGGTGCACCTTGTTAGTATGAGTAATGGTTTTTATTTCTTTTAAATCTTTCTCAATCGTCCTATTTTCAGAATCACTCTCATTCAAATGTTATCTCAGTTCATTTATGTACCCTCCTTTACTGAGTGTCACATTCAACTTTTTTTTGGACTGGAAAGCGGAGTCTAAGGCCATGTCATGATGTTTTTATGAAATGATAGGTCTCACCATATTACAAGTGATCACATTTTCCATTCCCAATAGTGGGGTTACCTATTAAATATCTTTTAAAGCTTCAAGTCACGTGCTACTCTTACCTTTAAGGCACTCTTGTACAGATGATGATGTCATGATGACAACCATGCGACTGAAGTTATGGTTAATGCATTCATGTTGCTTTTTGTGGCCCTTAGGTTACATCAGAGCATTACTTTATTGTACTTTATTATATTTAAATTCCTGTTATTAATTTTCTACCGTATTCTTTTAATGAATTTATTATAAAAGTATAAATCCATGATATCGTTTATGAAATATTTTAAATAATATTTTTTTTTGTTCCTAATATACATAACTCAAGATAATCCAAGTAATGATTCATATTCCTTCATGCTTGATATATACATGATTAATTTTCAAACCGATTATGTATGTGAATTTTTATTGAAAATGTTTCAAACCCCACTTAGAGAAATGAATGGTTTTAAATTATTGAAATTAACGAGTTGATTTTATTTCACGTCATTAGTAGATTTGTGGTTCGAGAATTTCAGTTTCACTTGGTAATTCCAACAAGAAGGAATGTTCAAACACAATGCACAACGTTAACAATTATTGCTCTAAGACATTTATTACAAACTTTATTCCCATTTTATTAGAAGTAAACAAAGATCTATATTATAGTATTTCAAAGTGATGGTGACATAGAAGAGACTAAATCATGACATAATATACTTAGTTTTACATAATATATTTATTTAAGTATAAAACTATGATTCGCAACATAGTAATTGCCAATTATTATTCCATAACATAACATAGTAATAGCACCACCCAAGAGCTATGAGTGGTTTGTTGGTCATGCCTTGGCTATAAATGAACCTTCATTATTGTCTCCCATAAGGTAAGCATCAATGTCTTTGGCGACATCAACACAAAGCTGAAGAAAAGTATGAGAATCTGGAATTCCTTTATGCAGCTTCTCATATTCCAAAGCACAATGAATCACACTTCCCTTCTCCTTTGGGATAGATTGGATTTTAATTCTGAAGCTCTTATAGCCCTTCAAAAGGTCTCCCTCTAACACTTTCCAAGTAAATGAATTGTTCTTTTCATCGACCGCTTCTATTACGCTCTTCACTACACAATTCTTTCCATCTATATGAGGTTTAATCCACAAAACGTTGGTTAATTATAATTGAACTGATAAAAGATAAAAAGTAAAAGTTTGGAAGAGATGTAATATTAATGAACAAACCATGAACGTAGTGCCAATAGAGGATAGTGCCAACTTTGCCCCATTCGCCTGCATGTAATTCGACCCCTTGTATTTTATCTGAACAGATATTGGACATATGGTGAGGTCTTTGATGAATTATTTCGTGAAACTTTTCTGCTGAAGCCCTAATTTCAATATCGGTCTCCAACTTTCCATAAAGAGCCATGGCGTTGAGTTATTGGAAGAACAAGTTACAAAGATAAAAGATAGATATTGCTACCGAGCATCTCTCCACTACTAAGCTCAATTTAAAGAGAGAGCCATGGCGTTGATGCAATAATGGATTCCATAAGGGTTACTCTAAAAGAGATTGGTATAGTGTAATCTTATCATTATTATTCTATAATAATACTTATTTGGTTACGTGGGTTTGAATGAAATGATGTAATAAAACAACAACTACGAGCCTTAATTAAGGCAAGGGTTAGGTTAAAAGCTATTAACTAAAACTTTCTATCTATTCTTCATACTAAATTCTCATTTAATCTTGCAAGTTAAACCCTTTTTTATTGATATAATGTTAGCTTCTTTCACGTTCAAGACCGGTAAACTCATAAAATAAATTAAATTATCAGAGTATTTAAGATGCTAAATGTTACGATCATGTTCGTTTAGGGCGTGTTGTCTATTGCTGCATGCCCATGACATGTCAAACTCAATAGGGTGATGCAATCAATTGTCAACTTCTCCTACCTAAATTTTGTATGACCGTTCGACGAAAACATGTCTAGGTCTGCCAGACCGAATCGCTCTACAATGTATTATAGGGAGATGCAACTAGTTGTCAAATTTTGCTCTACGAGTTATATGATATTCTAGTTGTGGTGTTTCTTTCTCTGCTTATAGCCATATAACAACTTTCAAACCGTCTTTCAATCTTACTTTCAAACTCCCTTTCAAAAATCTCTTGATTAACTCATACCCACAAAAAATGGTCCTTAATATATGAAAAAAATGTCTTGAAATATAAATATAAATTAATTCTATTTATGAATGGATCATTATTTTCAAAATGACTTTTTTCTACATAATTATGAATGTCTTATATTTATTTTCAAATAAATAAAGCTACCCATTGTTCTTTAATGTAACAAATCCCACCTCATCAAGAATGTGTCCTAATCAATTTGGTCACTTCTTAAAGTATTCTTAAATTATTGTAGTGCATAAGAATGATAATACACAAATCTCTTAATTACTTTTCCAATTCACATATTATCTTCATCGACTTTTAATTTGATGTTGTACGCTAGATCGATTCTTAGCTTAAAAGTCTCAAAATATTCGATCCGTTTTCAAATTTCAAGATTTGTAGAGAATCTTTGATCTTTAAGAGTTATAGAGAATTTTTCGAGATCTCAACTTTTTTCGATCCTCCAAAATGAAAGAAATCTCATCTGGGGACAAATGGAAGATTATGAAAAAAGATGGACGTTATATGCCAAGAACAAAAAGCCCAGGTACTACAATGGTTGAAGCTCAAACATTCAATTTATATTTTGAATGCTATTTGATTTTTTTTTTTTTTTTTAAGTGAAGTATGTATTATATATGAACTTTTGAAATGAACTTAATTACGCGTCTCAATTATTAAACGAGCACCATTATCTTTGTAAAAGTAATCTTTTTAATACGTGCATAGGACTCGTATCAAGATTTGAAATTCAAACTCGATATTTGATGGTCACGACATGATATTTCCCTGCATCCCATGCGACATGGTCATGTACTTCCATTTTGTTATCCCACAAACCAATTTTTAAGAGTGAAGATTATCTCTACAGACTAACACAGATCTTTCGGCAGGTTTTGTCTTCACTCACAAACTTTTAGGAAAATTCTTAAGAATACACCCGACGTAAAATTACTCCAAACAAAACACACTTAATTTTAGAGTTCTTATAATTGAGTCAACGAAAAGAAAGGTGCACGTTATTGGTATAAGTATTAAGTTTCAATTTTTAAAAAAATTTCTTAGTCATCCTATCTTCAAAATCGTCTCATCCAGATGTAGTCTCAATTCATTCATATACCTTTCCTTTATTGAGTGTTACGCAAACAAAGAAGTTAGTTGTTCACTTCATTGATTTTACTTCATTCTCTCACTAATTAACATAACATAAATAAGCTACTCATTCATGTTATTCTGATGAATTAATATTTTTCTACGTCAGTAGTAGCAATCGATGATCGAAGATCTTGAAAAACTTACAGTTACAGCTACTCATCCAACAAGAACGCATATTAGTACACAATCTTAACAATTATTGCACCAAGACACATATTTTATTAGAAGCATACAAAGATTTAGATTATTGTTGTTCATGCCTTAGCAATTATTATTCCATAACATAATAATAGCACCACCACCCAAGAGCTATGGGTGGAGATAGAGACTTGTTGCTCATGCTTTAGCAGTTATACACGAACCTTCATTATCATATCCCATGAGGTGAGCATCAATGTCTTTGGCGGCATCAGCACAAAGCTGAAGAAAAGTGTGTGGATCTTGAATTTGTTCATGCAGCTTCTCATATTCCAAAGTAATGTGAACCACACTTCCCTTCTCCTTCGGGATACATTGGACTTTAACTCTGAAGTTCTTGTAGTGCTTTGAAATGTCTCCCTCTAACTCTTTCCACGTTACTGAATTGTTCTCCTCATCCACAGCTTCTATTACCCTCTTTGACACACAAGCCTTCCCTTCTATTACTCAAAACAAAAATAAAATAGATAAATTATAAGTAGCGTTTAAGTTTGTGTTTATTTTGTCGTTTTATCGCTTGCAAATGTCTGATTATGTAAAAGAGAACAAATGTCAGCAAGAACGCTGGAACTCAAATGGGGTGGACGATCCCATGTCAGTTGGAGAGGGGGAACGAAACATTCTTTGTAACGGTCTAAAAATTATTCAGGGAAAGCTCAAAACGAAAAACCTAAAAATGACAATATTTATTGGCTGATAGGTTGAGTTCTTGTGTTCAAGAATTTTTAATTTAATAACCCGTAAAAAGTATTAAATAGATTTTTAAACTTTCCTATGTCTTTATTAGATAACTCAACTCTCAAAATCTACCTTATGTTTTTTAAAATTTTGGGTTAGTTACTGACACAAAATTTAGAGGTAGAGTTTGAGAACCATTACCTATCGTCATGAGTCTCATAATTTTAAAACGCTTCTACTAATTAGAGATTTCCACGCCTTTATAAGAATCTTTCGTTCTTTTATCTCCAACCGACTAGATTTCAAAAAAAAAAAAAAAAAAAAAAAAAAAAAAAAAAAAAAAAAAAAAAAAAAAAAA